AAAAAAAAAAAAGAAAGTTGTAATAGTAATCATCTGGGCACGGTTGCTCACACCTGTAATCGTAGCACTTTGGAAGGCTGAGGCAGGAGGATCACTTGAGGCTAGGAGTTTGAGAAAGTTGTAATAGTAGGAAAGAGAAAAAAGAAGGGGAAGCTCTTTCTTTAAAAAGGTGTTCCCGGCTCAGCACCTGTAGCTCAGCAGCTAAGGCACCAGCCACATAGGCCAGAGATGGCAGGTTTGAATCCAACCCAGGCCTGCCAAACAACAGTGACAACCACAACCAAGAAATAGCTGGGAATTACAGCGGGCGCCTATAGTCCCAGCTACTTGGGAGGCTGAGGTAAGAGAATCGCTTAAGCCCAAGAGTTTGAGGTTGCTGCATCCTACATCCAGCAATAGAAATGTCAGAAATTGTTTGAATTTTGTATATAGTTGTACTGTTAATTCTAGCCACTATGCTGAACAGTATTCAAGTTACCATACAATATGGCTTTACAAGGAAATGTGTGGATATTGTTTTGTATTTTTTCAGTATAGAAGTTCCTGTGTCTTATTTAAATAAAGTTATTAATAAAACTGAAACAACAAAATAAAAAGAAAAGGTGTTTCTCTCAGAGATACTGTTTGAGCTGAGACCTGTAGGCTGAAAAGGAACCAGACAGGGGAAGAGTGTTGCAGGCAGAGGGAATGCTCTGTTCTAAGGCAGGACTCCATCTTGTAGAGAGGCCAGCTTGGCTGAGTGGTGTAAGATGAGGTCAGAGATGGTCAGGACAGATCAAAGCGGGCCCTGGAGATCGAAGGAAGGAGTTTGGGTTTTCCTCTTGTGGGATGGGGAGCCGTGGGAGGGTTTTAACAAAGCATGTTTCTCATGTCCCCTTCCTCCCTCACAGGCTAGACATCTTACACCAGGTTGCCATTTGGCAGAAGAACTTCAAGAGAATTGTGAGTGCCCAAGTGGAGTGAGGTGGGGAGGAGGAGGCAGAGGAGGCCTGTTGGTGTATTTTCTCTGGACTGCTTAGCTCAGGCCTCATCTTCTCTTTCCTGAACTGATGAATGGTCAATTTTCAGTTATTATCTGATCCTCCCACAAGTCAAATAGTCATGTCTATAAATGTGTAATTATGGGCAGTCATCCCAGAGAAAGGGACATTTAACTTCAAGTCTACAGTAGAAGCTAACCAGGTAAAAGACATGGTGGGGGTAGGGTGGAGATACTGGGAATCACACATGCAAAGGCCCTGTGGTAGGGACCCAGTGTCTCCATAGAGGTCACTGGGAACAAGGGTAAGGAGTTTGGATTTTATGCCCAGAACCTTATCAGTCCAGGTCTCTGCCTTTTATCTGTCCACCCCAGAGGTTGAGAAACTTTCCCCCTGCACACATGTCCCTGGCTCCTGCACATACTCTAAATGAGTCGCCAGTCTGGCGTTCTGAGCCTCTCATGATCCCCTGCCTTTCCCCTCTTCGTTGATCCTCTCTGCCCATATCATTCCCCATGGCTCACCTTCCTTCCAGTTTTAGCCACCCTAAAATTGTTCGAAACACTAAATAAATAAAATTGTTCAAAAATCCAACCTGAGCAACATAGCAAGGACTTGTCTCGTAAAACATTTAAAAATTAGCTAGATATGTCGGCGCCTGTGGCTCAGTGGGTAGGGCACTGGCCCCATATACTGAGGGTGGCAGGTTTGAACCCGGCCCCGGCCGAACTGCAATAACAAAAAAAATAGCCAGGCATTGTGGCGGGCACCTGTAGTCCCAGCTACTTGGGAAGCTGAGGCAAGAGAATCACTTAAGCCCAGGAGTTGGAGGTTGCTATGAGCTGTGATGCCACGGCACTCTACCGAGGGCAGTAAAGTGAAACTCTGTCTCTAAAATAAATAAATAAATAATTATTCATTTATTCATTCAATAAATTCCTATTAAGCATTAATAAAAAAATAAAAATAAAAATTAGCTAGATGTGTTGGCATACACCTGTTGTCCCAGCTACTCAGGAAACTGAAACAGTAGTACTGCTTGAGCCCAGGCGTTTGAGGCTGCAGTGAGCTATGGTTGAGCCACTGCCACTATTCTGAATTGACAAAGGAGAGAATCTGTCACTGAAAAAAACCAAAAATCTACAAACTACTGAGCACCTCCTTTGTGATAGGCAGTAGAGCCCCTGCCTTTGTGAAGCTGAATTAGGGGACTTTCATTTCTCAATCCTTCCTCTCCCTGCAAATGCTCTGTGCTTGTTTTTAGAGAGTCACCCATGACAATGACTCCTGCCTGGTTCCCTGGTGACAGGACTGGCCTGCCCAGCTCTTCACTGTATTCCTGGACCTGCTACCTTTGAGCTGCAGCAACACCTGCCTAGCAAACCTAATCCCCTCCTCTCTTTGTGCTGGCAGAGTTATGCCAAGACCAAGACTCGGGCTGAGGTGCGGGGTGGTGGCCGGAAGCCCTGGCCACAGAAGGGCACTGGGCGGGCCAGGCATGGCAGCATACGCTCCCCCATCTGGCGAGGAGGTGAGTGGGGGTCTGAGGGGTTAGGGCAGTGCCTGGATTCTTCTTCACATACAACTGCCCACATGTGGCATGATAATTGTGTCAGCCTCGTTCTTTGTACCTTGTCAGCCCATGTAGGTTGGTGGCATTGGGACTTGTGCCCACTGACCTCACTGCCTATGTGGGTGGGGGACAACTCATCCACTCTCCTAAGCCCCTAAATACCCAGTGCCTTTAGAGTACAGCCACAACCCCTTCCCCTACCCCAGCCCATACTTCACTTAAAATCCAGAGAGCTTAAATCCTAAAACTCCCAGGTCCCACAGCCTCTACATAAGTCTGGGCTCCTTACTTTATGGTTCTAGGGCCTGGTGGGTACACCCACTATGCCTTGTCCCTTCCATGCTTTCTTTGGCCAGACAGCTGACTAGGAATCCATCTTCTATGTAGCTACTCAGCACCCCTCACCTTCAGGAGTCTGGGTCATGTTTCCTCCACAAAGCCCTCCTTGACCTTCTTTGGGTTCTACCAACCCTCCAGCCCCTTGAGTTGTCCTGATTCCCTCTGTAGTTGAACCCCTGTCTGCCCTGCCAGAATGTGAACCACATGAAGGCAGGGACCATGGACCGTGTCTGTTTTGTTTTCTGCTGTACTCTCAGGGCCTGGTTGAAGGTGAATGCCCCAGTGAGCACCAGAGGGACTCCCTAGCCATTGACATCCCAAATCACACACTGCTTGCTCCCTTGCAGGATGTGCCTGATGCCTGCATCCACCCAGACATGAGAATTTTAACCTTCTGATAACTGCAACATGAGTAGCTAGTGCTTTAGTTAAGCATCCACTCTGTTCTACCTTGTATATATGCTGTAACTCAAGGTGTCCTATGAGGTAGGAACACCCTGATCTCAAGGTTTAACAGCTGTGGAAACTGAGGTGAAGTAATGGGTCCTAGGTTGTCCCTGACTCAGCCTCCACACTCCTTAGATACTCAGCCTGGCTCCTGGCAGCCTCCTCTCCAGCTCTTACACCTGTCTCTACAGGAGGCGTTGCCCATGGCCCCCGGGGCCCCACGAGTTACTACTACATGCTGCCCATGAAGGTGCGAGCACGGGGCCTCAAGATAGCACTGACTGTGAAGCTGGCCCAGGTACAGCCCAAGCCCTGTCAGGAGCCACGGGGACCCCAAGTGGCTGCTGGGGGAGGAGGAGGTGCTCTAGACTCATGGCCCAAATCATCCTTTCTTTCCAACCAGGACGACCTGCACATTGTGGACTCCCTGGAGCTACCGACTGCAGACCCCCAGTACCTGACAGAGCTGGCCCGCTACCGCTGCTGGGGGGACTCGGTGCTCCTCGTGGACTTGTGAGAGTTCAGGGCAGGGCTAGGGCAGGGAAACCTGAGCTCCATCCCCAGCAGGGCTCACTCCCACCCTCTCTTACAGAGCTTACGAGGAGATGCCACAGAACATTGTGGAGGCTACCTCCAGGCTCAAGACCTTCAACCTGATCCCTGCTGTGGGTGAGTAAGGGGCCAAGTCTACCTCCCAGGCCCCTAGAGTGTGCATGTGTAGGCCCAGCTGTTGGAGCTGCAATCCTTGCTGAGTGGTGGCTCATGCCACTTTGGGAGACTGAGGAGGGCAGATCACTTGAGGGTAGGAGTTAAAAGACCAGCCTGGGTTGGGTGGTGCCTACTCTCAAAGGAGTAGGGTACCAGCCAAAAACTGCAAAAAAAAAAAAAAAAAGAAGACCAACCTGGGCAACATAGTGAACTCCATCTGTACAAAAAATAAGAA